GTAACTTTCTTAATACAGTGAACATTTTTATTTCGCTGATAGATTATGTTTAAATAATGTATAAACAACCCTTAAACTGCCCTTCAATAATAAATTTCCGTATGCTTTAAGCTTGCCAAATATTTTAAGTAATTCACACTATAACTTATAGAATACTTAGAATGCGGGGGTTGTAATTTTCGTCATACAGTGAACATTTTTATTTCGTTGATAGATTATGTTTAAATAATGTATAAACAACCCTTAAACTGCCCTTGAACAGTAAATTTCCGTATGCTCTAAGCTTTCCAAATATTTTAAGTAATTCACACTATACCTTATAGAATACTTAGAATGCGGGGGTTGTAATTTTCGTAATACAGTGAACATTTTTATTTCGTTGATAGATTGTGTCTAAATAATGTATAAACAACCCTTAAACTGGCATTTACAAATATTAATAATGGTTAGTAGAATCGGATTGAAAACGGCATTACGCATTATCCTCGAACTCAGCAAACGTAATTTTACACGAGCGATTCAATGAGTTCCATTATTTAATCGGATCGGCAAGAATGTTATATCACTTGCCTCATTTTACAGAAAAAATTCCTGGGTATGACACCAAATCCTGGCGTTGTTCTGTTTTCAAAAAATTTTCCCACTATGCCCTCCGAATTTGTTCACTTAAATCCCGCCTTACGAATCATTCCCCAGTCATTTCCAAATGTGCCCATTCTGCATGTTCCATGATTTTGAATCAAAGAGATCAAATACGATACAAACTAAAGACTTTTTGGTTCTACTGATTTCTAAAAGTAATCAAGAGACAAATTCAAGAATGAAAATCAATCATATTTTAGTGAACAATCTAGGGTTACATGTGACTCCTTTTCAAAGTACATGTGACTCCTTTTCAAAGTAAGCCAATATTCAGTTCTGTTTTTGAGATCCTATTACTTTCCCATACCAGCAAAACTAACGTAGCATAATAATGGAAATTAAATGCGCCTTACCGCACTTTAGAAAGCAGAAAAGCGTAAAACACACCAACACCACCGAATCCCAGCCTCATGTATACGTAATTCTATACTAGGATATTCCTAATAGCACCATTCAACTAATTATTTAATACATTATCCTCATAAAGTTATCTCGTATGTAAATTAAGTTACTCAACGCTCGTTGTAGTCGATAATACGCTATCCCTTTCCAAAACTAACGATGCTAAAAACTTCGTTTGATTTTAGGTGACCTTTTCGTCATAGTATTCAGCATGGATAGTCGTGAGACGTTCGAAGAGGCACTTCGATTAAGAGAGCAAATATTAGAAACGAAATTTAGCGCAGGTGGTGCTTCAAATAGTGGAGGACTGACGCGCAAAAGAAATTTACCTCGCGTGCCAATGGTGTTAGCTGGAAATAAATGTGATAAGGAAATGAGGTGAGATATTTATTCATAAAGCCGTTCTCCAACTCGCAGGGAATATTATTCCAATATGCTACTCAAAGATGACGGAACTTCATCACGTGCCACAGTAAAATAATATACCTCAAAAAATTGAACGACATACGTGACAGGATTAACGTTAAATGGGGTTTCAAGGAGATCGATTCCAGTTTTCTCGTTTGTCAGCGCCCTAAGATTGGAGAAATCACGTCTAGACAGGAATAATAATTTCGGCGATTGTAGCATAAACTTCAATTTCGGTATATTGATTCCATAAACGTCACTTAGTTAAATCGATTCAATTTTCGAAATGAGACGGGGGAAAATATTATGGCGCGTACTAAATAATTTATGGAGAGCAAATCCGTGCAATTTTAATAATTAATTTCTGAAATTCCCCTTCTACTAGCAGGTTCTATTCGATTAAAGTCGTTTTAATTAACGACTCTGAAAGTCCATACTATTGAATAAAGCAACAAAAAATTACGCAATTAGCACTGCGGCATGACAAATCGGCGTTAGCAATGAATAAAAAGCTGCCACCTTTAATTAAAACTGTTCTTAAACATTTAACTATTTTAGTTATACTTACTAAATGCATACACAATAATTTATATTGCGTATAAGACATCTAAACTGACCTGGGAATGATTTGCCATCATAAGCCACGATTCAGTTTTCACTACCGACACTCGGATTGATCTCTAATGCGCCACGATGGCGCTTCTGTTACGCTGTATTATATTACGAAGTAAGACAATTCCATGGTCTTAGAAGATATCTTAATTCCATACTAGATTAAATTGAATATGAATGTAACTCTTTAGCGGCCTTTTTGTACCCCTTTTTTTGGATTTCATTACTCAAAATCAAAAAGAGACACAAGGGATCAGAAGATGATTATCAAAATAAACCTCCGCAAGGATAACGAATTGAAAATGGTTTAAATGACTAATACAAAGAAAAAGTATAGTATTTATTACAATTCGGAATATCGATAATCAAGATGCAATCAAACGATAACCTCAGGGAGTACGATCAAATTAAAATCTTACCATTGAACTTTTAGGTGCAGCCGTTTCCGAGCTCAGAAAGGAGTGCAATCAGATAAAACACAAAAACAAAAAGAGAGGGTATGACAAAAATTTTCATCGACAACGAATTGTCCGTACAAATCGGCGATATAATAAAAGCATAAACGTTTAATTACTAATTTACAAAGCAAAAATGGTTGAATTATTGTAGAAAAAATCCTCAATAGCGTCTGTGAAGCGTCGAAAGTAAATTACACGAGAAAAACTTCACCTAAAATATATCACACGCCCAGTAAATCCCTTTGTCAGCAAAGGTACCAAGTCGCGTTCGGTGCAGGGAGTGCGCACCCAGAAGAAGGGAAATTTTGTAACCAGAGAAACTACAGTTACTGTATAAAGACAGTATGGCTCCAGGTTGGCCATGTGTTTCCCAGTTTATCATTGAGCTGATTGGTTTACCGAATTAGTAGATTTTTCTATGGTTACAATAATGTTGTCGCAATTGTGTCCATGGTTTCCAGGTTAATTTCCACCAATCAAGTGTATTTGGCGGATTTCCAATAGAAGATAACACCACCGTATGACCAAACTGTCTCTATAGAGTCATTGTAACAGAGAAAGTATACTTGCACGACCTTTAGAGGGGAAATAAAAAACTATGAAATAAAAACTCCAGCAAATTAAAAATTTAAATGGTGAAGTAAGATTTAAAAAAGTTACAAACTTCCCCATTTACAGTACAAAGAAATATAAATTAAAAAGAAAACTAGCAGATAAAATCAAAAACAAAAATTAGAACAACTAGCAGATCAAAGTATATTTTCTAAGAATGTTACGGAGTGAAGAAATTGAAAAGCAAGTGGAAGGTGTTACGATTAACATTAAACATTTTGCTACGGATGTATACAAAAAAATCAATATTATTGGAAATTGATCAGATGATACCTATACTGAAGATCCAAAAATTAAAATAAATGCTAAAACAAAATTTTTAAAAAATTAAATCAATATTATTGTTTAAAATTAAAAAACAGAAATATACAAAGGCGCGACGGTGTATTGGCACAAAATTCTGAGAAATGGCATTCGAGTTCCATCAAAAAACTACCTGAAAGTTCCGCTAAAACGTTTTGAAACCTTAGCTTCTATAACTGCACGAGATTTGAAACGTTCTGAAGTTTTTTGGAGCCCTCTGAACAAAAAAAAGCAATAAAACTTTATGAACTTACAAATCATTCTCAAACTGTCTGAAGGCATTGAAACGCTAATCTTCCATACTTTCTAAATCCCTTTGGAACACTACAGTTCAGATGCTTACTACGCAGTTGCTAGGCGATTGAAAGTTTCTTAAATTATTCAAAAAAGCATTAAACTCTTTGAAACACTGACTAATCTTCTAAAACCATCTAACTAACATTGAACTCTCCACATTCTAATATCCTCCGAACTCTCAAACTTTATGAATTCACACTAAACTTCGTCGAGCTGCCGGTAAAAACTTTCTGAAATTCCCTAAAATTCCGTAAAACTCACTAACTCACAAGTGTGCGACCGTCTGAAATGCTACGGAGGTCTCTGAAATGCTATGGAGCTATGGAGATTCTTTGAAAGCCTATAAACCTTTCTAACATCTTTCATTATTTAAAATCATATGGATGTATGTTTTATAATAAGTTCCACAGGTTTCTGCTGTACCACATCTCTGTAGCGCCCTGAAATTCCGCCAAACTTTCTGAAACTCCAGACAACTTTCCGAAGCTGCATGATACCGTGTAAGTCACTGTGGCCAAAGCTCCTCAAACTGTCCGAAACTCCATAAGACTCTCTGAAACAAACACTACACAAGAATCCTCCAAAGTATTCGAAACTATCTCCAAATTTTCTTTGAAACTCCCTAGAAAATTTTGATCTTCTACGAAATTTTCTGATGACTTGATTCTTTTTCACATAACTTTTCGGAGGTCTTTAGAAGAATTTTCAAAATGACCTGCGAACATCTGAGCCACTTAAATGCACCAGTAAAACTAATTTTTTGAAAGTGTTGGCAGCGTTTCCATAAAGCTACGTTCCTTATAATTTTCTGAAACTCCGAAAATACCGAAATCCTATAAAATTTTCTGGCTTTTAAAGTTCTATAATCTTTCCAAAGCTGCATGAAATACTTTAACGCGACCTAAAACTCCCTAAAGTCTTCTAAAACTCTTTGAATTTCTTTCAAACATTTTTGATTTTTTTCAAAACTCCCTGCTTTTTAAAATCAAAAAACCAAAATCGGTTTTTCGCATATATCTCCAAAACCATGCATTTTTCGAAAATATATACGGTGAAAGAGAAGAAAATTTCCTACAAAAAATGTAGTTCGCATATTTTCACTAAAATTCACCCTTCGGCGGAAAATCAGAAATTTTTAATAAACGGTGGTCTATATTTTATCGAAATAATTTATTAATCAATTAATTCACGGGCCCCAATTCTCAGGTACATAAATTTGCAAACATGCACTAAAAATAATACTCCTACGAATGCAATTAATGTCATCTCTGAAATAGGATTATTAACATAAAAATTGGTGAACGTTTAGATTATAATTGTACAAAGGGAAGTACTTCTGCAATCAAAATTATTGGACGGCCAATTCCAACATCGGATTTCGAAAATAATTATTGTGACAGAATATATACCTTTTCAGAAACGGAAACTACGCAAAACACGCAGATGCTAACGACCAAAAATGAAAAAGTTAGAAAAAGCTCTTATAAACTCTAACTTTAGAAAAAAATTATTACTAATTAATACTCGTAAAAAAGCCAATTTTTTATCTATAGAAACAACATGTTCCATGATGGATTTAGGTATCTTGTCATGTCAAGTTTGTCACGCGGAAGCTGTATCAACTTCGTGAGTTCTCTCCAGATCCCTATTTTTTTCATTGCAACTTTAATATTCACCTAAGTTGGGACTTAGAACTTTAGTACATCACGCGCCAACCCTTATTAAACATTAAAAAAAGGCCGAAGGCACCAAAAGAGTAGTATAACAGGTGAAGCTTTTAAAAGCTCGTAACAGGCCCCAGGTGAACAACTCATGCTGAGGCTCTTTAAGTAAGCCACCGTTGGATTTACACACTCAGTAGGTAGGTATCTTTTTTCCGGCGTTTCCGTCGTAAACTACGCGAGCTTTAGATTGCGATTTTATCCCCATAACAAAAGCTCAGTTGGCGCCCAGAGATTAATTTATACTGTCGAAATGTGCTTTACGCCGCCACGTAGCTTGTTTAATATTTGATTTCTAATGTGGAATGAGTTTTCACAATTTCGATTCCAGTTTTTTCAGCTCATCGATGTTCAGCGCGCCGATCTCGGGATGGAAATGGGCAGTAATCAGCCTTTGTGAGGTGGAAGCTCACAGAGAAAATACACGTTTGGGGTTAGCATTTCAGTCTGTCTAATAGAGTCGATTTTCTCACCGAATTTTAATTTTAATCGCCATGCCGCAAAATCGTGAAAAACAACGCATCGACAGTATAAACTGTATACACTATTTTAAAGTTGATTGCATTGCTGACTTTTTTCTTAGTCCTTTTCACCGGGTTTCTCATCCTCTCGTAGGGATTTATCTAACTTAATTATATCATAAGCGTACAGGTGTGATTTTTTTTCATTTTCACTATGAGGATTTCGTAAACTGTAAGAGATACCAAGTCGCTTAAATGAAAAATAAATAAAATAAAAAACCAAAGAATGGCAGACAGTAAACAAGTGCCATAAATTTATGATTTGCTCTTTTTAATTAATTTATTAATATTAATATGTCAGTTTTGACAGGTGTCTGACAAGAGGCAGGAAAAATAGTCAGGACTGTTACTGCCACTGTCGGGGAAACTAAAATTTCCTAGCAAAGTTGGCATGAAAATGAAATAAAATTATTCAATGTGTGTTCAGGCAACAAGACTCTTAATAC